TTTTAACCCCTTGCGCTGGCAACTGGTTCGCGGACCATAACGAGTGACCAAAACATTATACAATAATTCGTCGCTTTCTTTTTGAACTCGTCGGTATGATATCACTGGATAGAAATTATTACTAAGAAGTAATATATTTACTATTTGTTTTGCCTGCGTTATAGTTTAGATATACTTAAAACTGAGAAAATATTGCAATTTGGGACAAAAAATTCTCGGCGTGCATGGCACGTGATTGCAGCGTAAGAGGTTAAAGTAATATATTTCGCTCTTTCCACAAATTCTTGTGAAGATCTTTACTACAATATGAGTAGCTCGATAGTATCGACGCAAAGCGAAAAATATTCCGAGAAGAACTGATAATTCATTGATTGAACACGAACATGTTAGACGTATGAAGAACGGAATGCCTCGTTTGAAACTGATCCTCGTTTCTGATAAAACTGTTCTGTCAAACTTGTGTTGATAAGAGAAAAAGAGCTACTTCTTCCTTTCTTTCTTTCTTTCGATCTTTTCCATCCTAAATTTTCGAAAACCTGGCGAATTATACCCGTCTATCGTTGGGTTGTATCTCACGCGTTATTCATATTCGCGGAATAATGCTGAATAATTTCACCATAAATACGCGGCGCGTCCACGTGGGCGTAAAGTAACGATAATGCAAGTAAATAATGGACGCGAGAGTTTTATTACCTAGGCGGTTGAATGGCAAGATAGAATCTACGTGTCCGCGGCAGTACAGCCCCCTCGAACACCAGACGAACGCGAAAAGCGAAGAGAAGAGAAGAGAAGAGAAGAGAAGAGAAAAGGAGAAAAGAGTCCGGACCAGACCAGGCGAGAGATCAGTCACTCTCGAACACCGAGTTGCTCCAACCTCGGATCTCTATGCAACGATTGAGTTTTTACAAAATTTAAAAGTCTACGAGAGAATTCTATCGTCTCTTGTTTTGTCAAACTGTTGTTCGTTTTTTCTTTTCGTTTTCTTACTTTCGTTTGTCGGCTGATATTATTCCTACTTCCTCTTCGCTTCGTTTTATTTTGTCATATCTCCGACTTGCTCAGACGATTTTGTACAGCTGGATCAGAGGTGGCTTTTCCTTTTCTATTTTAAGCTAGAACTTTCTACTTTAGGTGCCAATTTTTTCCCAAGTGAAAATTATTTCAACGACGAAAACGTATTGTAAACATATTAGAAGGACTCTAAATAACTGCTAGTGATCTAGACTCTGCCCTTTCGTTCTCAGCTCGAAGCAAATTCTCGCTTCGTTCGTCTCAATTGTTAAAAATTGCGAAACAGGTCGACATATAGGTCATCGTAGGTTTTACTATCACTTTTGTAAGTAAACGCTTCATCTTTCCTCTCTCTCTCTCTCTCTCATATTTGTTTATTCTTCGTTAAAATATATTCGATTCTGCCCCGAGCACACGATTGAAATTGTAAAGTTTCGCGGAGAGCCAGAGAGGACTGCGGAATCGATTGACTTTCGAGGGAGGAGCTGCCGGATGTGGCACTCTCTCGAAGAAGGTAAATTTACATCTGAACATAATCTTTGATTGTGCCACGCCTTCTCCACGTTTCATTCTCTTTGCTTCGGTCCCAAAACTTTCTTCCTCCTTCTCCATCGTTTTCTTCCTCTCCTTCTTTCACGGCTGGTGGATTCGGCTCGGGCCACAGGCGTCGCCCATCTCGCACCATCATTTAACTAAATTACCAGCTTGCCGCGCCACTCTTGCACGGCCGCCATTGTTTTCCCGTATATCTTGTTTACGCGTCCCTTTTTCTTTTTCGAGTTCCGGTGACCCGATTCCAACGTGTTTCCTTCAAATTAAGAGATCGTAGTCTCCAACGTTGGCTCGTCGACTCGGGAACCAAGTCCATCCGCTAGAAATTTGTAACATTGTTAGTTCCAACCCTTTGTGACTCGACATCAGTTGTTTTTATCACACGAACTCTTACGTTCAGTCACGCTCGATATTTATTTTTAAATTGCCAAAAAAAAAAAAGAAGAAAATAATTAAAGAATAGTTTGGAGTGCAAAGAGATAATTAATAGATCGTTCGTTGTTTTTCGAAAAAACCTGCAAAAAGAAATTTGTAACATTGTTAGTTCCAACCCTTTGTCGAGTGTGACTCGACATCAGTTGTTTTTATCACACGAACTCTTACGTTCAGTCACGCTCGATATTTATTTTTAAATTGCCAAAAAAAAAAAAGAAGAAAATAATTAAAGAATAGTTTGGAGTGCAAAGAGATAATTAATAGATCGTTCGTTGTTTTTCGAAAAAAGCTGCAAAAATTTGTAACATTGTTAGTTCTAACCCTTTGTGACTCGACATCAGTTGTTTTTATCACACGAACACTAACGTTCAGTCACGCTCGATATTTATTTAAAAAAAAAAAAAAAGAAAACAAGAAAATGATTAAAGAATAGTTTGGAGTGCAAAGAGATAATTAATAGATTGAAAAAACCTGCAAAAAGCAGTGATACGTGACTGGTGTAGACAAACGTAGTTCCAAGCGAGTGAGAGGACATAAGTGGCGAAGGACGAAGCAATTTCGAAAGCTCGGCGTCCAATGGCGTCCTTGGGGGGTGAAAAGCTTTCGAGGGAAAATGGCGGACAGCGCGCGCGGCTGACATTTGCCCGCGCACATTTATCGCGATAATACGGCTTTAGGTCAGAGGGTGTGGCCTCGCCAGATTGATTCGGCGTGCTCGCTTCTGCGCGTTATGCCTCGTTACTGCCACGTACTATGGCTGCTTGTGCCTCGTCGCGGCTCTTTGTCCATCTTTTATCCCCCCAACTTGCCCCGAGGTCCGATAAACGGACAAACTCGTCGCTCGGTATACAAATATCATTCGCTTTTCCTAATTTGCATCAGCGGGAAACGAAAAAAACGCATTCTTCTTTCCTTCGAACTCGCCTGGCGACCGCTGTCTGCCATTTTCTTTCGATCCTTAAACACCCAAATGTTCCCAATTTGATTTCCTACGGGAACATTTAACTTTCTAATTTTCTTTCTTCCATGAATATCGTTTGGAAGCTTATTTTATAGCCTTCTACGTCTAAAATTCACTTTTCGAATAATAAGAATTATTGTATCATCACTCTTGCAGTTTGTTAACATTAGAACTACCTAAGATAGGAACTAAAGGATAAAGTTTCTCAGAGATCATCGGATATATTAAAGCAAAAGAAACGGAAAAAATCTTTATTTATGTATTTTACGAAGAATCATTATAAAAAGTTGGTCGTTTTGACCATTTTGCTAGTTCTAGTGTCAATAAGCGTTGCAACGTCGATCGTTTGATTCGAAG